CGAACAAAAATGGTACACTTAGGTATCCAGCTGTGGGAATACTGAAAATCCCAGCTTCCCTACCCATTTTAACTACTCCCAGAGGCTACTTAAATCTTAAACCATGGGAGAAGAATTTAACAGTTTTTATTGTTATTTTTAAAGCAGTGCTTGTCCCCACTCACTCTCCTGCATTCCTGTTTTTCCTGTGTGTGAGCTCAGCAGTTGTGACAGAGCCTGTGCCTTTGAGTGGGCTGGTTAAGGGAGGTGAGATCCCCCTGCGAGGCCGGAGGGGTGCAGGCCCTGCTCCAGCTGGGAATGCTGAGCGGAGTGCGGAGCTGCCAGCTCGCTGCTCCCATTGGGCACGGCTGCCCCGGAGCTGGAGCTCAGCAAACATAGCTGGCTGTGGGCAGCAGTATCCTAGGAGCAGGAACCTGAGCTGAAACCCTGAAAGCTCCGTGGAGCACTTGACCATGGCTGCCTCCTCTGCAGCAAAGGGTTCCACAGAACCAGCAGGTCACAGAAAAAATCCACCACGTTCCGCTCGCTCTCTCCCAAACAGGGAATTTAACGTGTTTCCTGTAAGTTAAGGCACAGTTTTAAACTAGGAAAAGGGCCTTGCTCAGCAGGAAAATCTGCCTGCATTAGAAAAAGTGGTCAGCGTGGGGATTTGTCTCCTTAAAATATTCATCACAATCCCTGCAGCTCAAGCTGGTCCCTAAAATATTGCTCTGTGTGAGTGCGTGTGTGAATGTGCTCTGGCACGCTCGAGGGGTTTTTCATCAGCTAAACTGTCCAGCTCCCAGTGCTGTGGTTTTAATTCTCTGCTGAATATCTGCCTACTAATTAGGTTGCTGTGATACTCAGACTGCTTAAAGCGAGGAGGAATCATTCCTGATACAAATAAAACAGATAATGCATTAGCAACAGAAAAGAGCCTAAAAGGAGATGCTTTCTGTGGGGAAGACGAAACACTGAACGACTTTCACCAGGAACTCAGCTGGATACACTAAAAATTCCCAGGCAGTAGCTCAGGCATGTATGTTTCAATAACTAATAGCCTGCACATTTCCTGTTAATACTGTACTACAACCACAGTTTGCTTTGCTTTGGATAGTAATAATAAATATACACCATATATTTTACCTTAATTGTAACTTGTATAATACTGTAAATTTGCAGGTCCTTTTGGGGCCTTTTAATATATATCAGTGCCTACATGTAGCTATATATAGTCTCACAGGCATTTAAAATCAATCCTCATCCTTCCTTAATTCATTACATTTGCAGGCTCCTGGCTGTATGGAATATTTCTGTTCAGGACCATACAGGGGTGAGTGGAGGACCAGCCTCCTCTCCACCCTGTCCAAGACACAGGAGCACCATGGAGAGAAGCAGGTTGGCTGAGAACAAAAGGAACATTTTGCTCACACAGCATGCCCTGGCCTGTGCCATTCATAGCCACAGGAGCCACAGAGTCAAACAAAATATCTATTTTTTTTAAAAAGGGACTGAATAATTTAATGGCCAAAACCAACATTTCCATGCTAAGCCAGGGGTAATCAAATCTTGTGGTTCAGGATGTAAAGTGATGGCCCAAGGAGGCCAAGCTTTGGATGACCGACCAGCTATTGTGGGTTTTTCAAATTCCCTTTGAAGCCTCACATGTAGGATGGTGCTGAAGGCACAACACCCATCCTGAGGGAACTGTGATTTCAGGTGGGCTTGCACAGCTAACATGTCCCTGAGGATGCATCAGCAGGCAGTCGAAAAATAAGAAAAATCTTGTTTATGTGACACGTTCATCCACACAATGCAGAAAGCTATGGGAAGAGCTGACCCTGGCTCCTTAACACGCCCTGCCTGTGGTCCTGGGCACATTCCTGCCCTGTGCTCAGCACTGCCTGAAAATACTCAGCTCCACAGCCCTTCCAGTGGGAGCTCCTGCAGTCAGGTGGGATTCTACCCACAGGGAGTCATTAAAACAAGTGTCAGACACAGACAACAAGCAGTTCCTCAGCTCTGCTGCAAAGCATTTGTCACATCAATGAGAATGCTCAGAAATCTTGGTCTTACCAGGAGGATTTTTTAAAAAAGAAAATCAAAAGTCATAATAGAGAAGATATTAATCTGGCCTCCTCTCACTTTATAGGTGCATGGCTTTAGGAATCTCAAACAGTAAGACTTTTATATAAATTTTCTTGGGATCATGTTTTAACAATTTATTTTGGATGGTGAAAGTTTATATTAAATTGCAAGTGAGGCCTGTGTGAGGGAACTACTAAGGTATACCACGAGCTAGCAGTGACCTACAGAAAAGACACCTAAAGGCTACAGGTATCATTACTTTGCTTTAGAATTATTCATCCTGTCTCCATTCCCAGCCTCCCCAAGCAGGCACTTTGTTAAGGATTTGTGTATTTTCACAAGGCACACCAAATGTCCTGTCCCAGTATCAGAACCAAAAAGTGAATACATACCAATACTGATTGTTCCTTCTTTCTATCACAGTGGCTGAGTGTGTTTTCTATATTCACCCACAGTGCTTAGTCTGAGTAAGAAACAGATTTACACTTTGCTTTATCCAGTCTTTGTTCAATACCAGTTCTAGGACAAATTAACACAGAGTAAGAAATTGCAAAGCTGTTTTAAGATAACAGTTTTAAGATGACCAGACCTTGACTGCCAAAAGCACAGTATATAACTGGTAAATACTGAGTGGAAATGAAAATTTAAAAATAATGAAAATAAATTAAAACTCGAATTTCTGAATCATAAATAGGAATGAACTGTAACTGCAAATGAAAACATCTAAGGGATGTTTCCAATATGAAAACTGTCTGGGTTTGGTATTTTTTTTACTGACTTGATGGCTTGATTGGCGGATTCCTCAGCCAGACAAAGAACCTCAACCCATAACCCACTGAGCTCAGTGGAAATGGGACCAAATCCAGACTGAAAACCATCTATCCTTTATCTCACCATTTTGTGTGTTTTGGTTATAAGACCATTCTGTAACAAAGTTTCATGCACAGCATATCACCATATCAAACAATCTTGACTTGGAGGATTATTTTTAACTCATATTAATATGAAGAAAAGTACCCAACAGAGCACCAGGGTAAAAAGCACAAAGCCAAGCAGCTCCAGGTTTTATCTGAAGTGACTTGTACAGTACTGGAGCCAGTCACAGGACTGAGAGTGTCCATGAGACGAGGTTGTGCCATAAGATCCAGCACACCAACCAGCTCATTCATAAAACCTCTCCCCCAAGCTTTACAGTTACTGATATTGTGAGAAAGCCCAATTCAGTTCCAGGACCAGGAGATATTTTTTTTAATGGAAAAAAAAAGTTCACACCGATTTTCAACTCTTCCCTTAATATTAAAAATGATGTGTAAAGCTCTGCTAATCAGGTCTCTGGATAGTGCCCAATCTCTTGCCACGTGTTTCTGTTCTGGGTCCTGCCCTACGGGAATTTCTGTCAGCACATGCTCAGGAAACAGTTACACTGTTCACTCTTTCTGGACTTTTTTTTTTAAGACAGACTCTATCTGAAGTTTGGTGAACCTTTGCACTAATCACTGCCAGGTGCCTCTGGCTACATTTCTGGAATGTGAGGAATCTTTTCCTTCTTTCCCTCTTTCCTCCTTTCTCCTCTTCCCCCCCTCTCCCTGGTATGTAATAAATCCTTCAATGCACATCACCTTGCTGGGCATCACTGCGTTTCTCACCCTTTTCTGTGAGCACTGAGCACCCCAGTCCCGGGGCTGTGCCCAGCTGGGCCTGCAGGACAGGACTCTGGCAGTGCCCCTGCCCAGTGTGGGGAGGCGGCTGCCGTGAGGTGCAGCAGTGCAACCTAAAAAAATCTTTTTCTAGATTTTAGATAAACACAACATACTGTTTCTCAGTCAGAATGCTGCCTTGGATTATTTGGATCCAGTGCTGCACTGTCACTCACCCACACTCTGAGCAGGGTCCACACGTGCTGCAATGAGTGCAGGAGCTTCTCAGCTCTGAGGAGGAAGAGGGACATCATGCTTCATGGACATCGTGGAGAACACTATCCACGGGGTCTTTAGTGTGAATGAAGGGTCTCACGTCATTTAATTGCTTTAGAATATTTTTAGTAGCACCAACAACAGTGACACGAAACCAATTTAATGTTCAAAATTCCAGAGGAGCCAAAGGAGTCCTCTCCTGGTACACTCAGAGGATTTCTGTGTGGGCCTTCTCTTCAGCTACAGAGGGACTTCCTGAAATACTCACTATCTTTTCTAACAAATACATGTCTGAATTGGGTGTAAAACTTAAATCAGTATCTGTCATGCATTTCATCATCCACACAAACTCACACAAACACGTTTTTTCTATGTTAAATGAGCATCTCTACAATTGTTCTGACCTGAGACGTGCAATTCCCGCAGAGCAGTTAATCACAGTGACCATTATGGGAACTGTGCCAATCTATAAGATGTTTTTCTTTGTAAGGGTTTGTTCAAGAACCTTTGAAATGAAGTTGATGAACTCTGGAAGCTGCCACGCTGACTTGTGTATTCTGTTGTAAATGAAGAGTATGCAAGGGAAATTCGAAAGCTTATTCTTGCTAACCATCTAGCAGGAAAATATATTTCAAAGTGAAAGAAAATCCTTATTAATGTGGTCAAAGAAACATCCAAACATATTTAAATAAAAAGCACTGCCTTAGGTTCAAGTGATTGCCAGGAAGTCAATTACAAAGACATGTAATCAAACACAGAGACCGTGTGCTCAGCGTTATCCGGCCTGTGCTGCATGCCTGACTGATCTACCTGATTTCAGTCATTTAAGGTCATTATTCTCTGGCAAGAGCACAGCAAGATGCTTCCAGGTGCAGGTAGATTCTGTACAGGTAGCTGTACAGAATGTCTGCTTTCTTCAAGTTTGCCATCTGAAAGCTGCTACCCCAATAGTGGGTGGTGTTCAAGTGATTTCATCACTTGTTACACCACTCTAAACTATTGTGTTTGGTGTGTAACGTTCACATCTAACAGCACACATTTTGCTTCAGAAGCAAAACTAAGTTTGAAAAAAAAAATCAGTTTTACAGGTGTTAAGTATAAATTTAAATATAGGTAAGACCAGTAATGGCTAAAATCATTAAAGTAATGCAGAAGAGCTCTGGTTGGATGCAGTTGAAATGCCTTCTGAGTTAGAGCGACTCCTGTAACCCCCCACCTTCTCCTGTAACTCTCATTTCTGACTCTAAGATAGTTTTCCTTACAGTGTCTCCTCTGGGCAGGCAACGTGGCCCTTCCTTTGAGATGCACTACTGAAGGCCCTCTCAGGAGTGTCAATGCAGCCCTCTCAGAGACACACATTAAATACATGCCCACCTCTCTCTGCCGATGGACAAACAGTATTTACCCCGTGATCCGGCACCGAGTTCTCCTTATCCAGGTAATCACTGAAATAAGCCCATGCTAATGCTAATTTTGCTTTAAGGTGGGGAGGGGGGAAACCTGTATAAGCCTATCTGGACATGATTATAAATGAATTCTGATCACATTTTCTACAATGAGATAAATGACTTGGGACTGGAAAGCAGATGCTTTTAATCACTGCTGTTCTTTGTTACACGAGCCCAGCGCCCACCTGTACATTGTTCTTTCTCTGCACAGATGTACTGATGCCCCTTTTGCGTGCTCAGATCCAAAACACCGAGATAAATTATGATGGGTTCTTGGCTTCCTCCACTGAAAATGTTTTCAGCTGTCAGAGGTATCTGTTTCTTGTTATTGGTTTTAGTGCTTTTGAAAGAAAGGCTAAAACACTGACTTGTGTATGCTGTTATAAATGAAGAGTATTCTCCAGTGGAATCCACAGTGAATGAGGGATGGATCTCCCTGGTCTCTTAGAAACTCTGGGTAGGTATTTAGTTCTCCACAGTACTTGTAGAGAGCAAACATTTGTTTCTTACAAAGACTCTAACAATGTCCTAGTTCCTGGTCAATTGATTTGTATCAGCTCACAAACTTAATTAACGTGATTAATACACATACAAGATTAATAAAAATTAGACATAAGTAGCTAAGACACCTAATTGTCTCTTAAAGTAATGAGAATTAGGAACACAAATGTATTTTGTTACCTGGCCTGAATCCTGGCAGCTCAAGGGGATAGCACAGCACATTGAAAAAATCTCCCCCATATAACACACAAGATTTTATCCTTTGTGTTCCAATCTTAAGAATATCAGGGATTTCAAATCTGGTTTTCCTTGGTTGGGCAGAAGGAAGCCTCTGTGTATCTTGTGTTACTTTATGTAAGAAGAAATGAAGGACTAAATTTTTAACAGAGAACTCTTTACATTTCAGTACTCCTGTGGTATTTGAAATAACAGGTGCTAAGAAGCAAGCAAACAAAAATTCTGATGTTTAAGCTGCCTGATTAAAATGTCTCTTTTCACTAAATAGTCCTAAAGTCCTGTTTCTTGTGATTTTTTGCATGGGTCACTGTCACTTCAGGGGGGTCTGGGCTGTGGTTTGGGGTGGCTGCAGTTGGCTGGTGAGAAGCCCAGGCAAAGGAGAGTTGTGTGAGCACCTTCCTCTAAGCTTGGCTTACTCAGTCCTTTATGTTACAGGCTCACGAGTTTGGGTTCAGAGTCCTCATTAATCACCACCTACGGACATCACAGATGCCTTAATCCCGCTAGTTCCTCATTTACTGTTGTGTTTACAGAGCAGAAATGACCTAATTTACCACAGGAATATAAAAAAATAGTTTCCTTTCCCTTGGAGACTCATCACTTTCCCAATACAGCCATTCTTTGCCGTGCCCAGGTTGTGCTGGGAGCAGAAGGGCTGTTTGTCAGGGGCAGCACAAGGGACAGAGCCCCAGTCACACACACAGGGACCGTGTTCGGGGCCCACAGAGTGACCTTGCTGGGTCATTGCTCCAGATTGGTGCAAATCCCAAACTTGGTGCCACCACTCAAACTCACTTAACTTTAGTCATATCAGTTTCACTTAAGCTGATAATTTATCACACCGAATATTCTCAACTGGAATATACAGGGATAGTCTACAAGTAAAACTAAGTGCACTTTTAGATGGCTTGGATAATAACAGCTAAAAAAATAGTAGAAAGGAAGCCAAGTGCAACATTCTCCCAAGATTTAATACTAAAAGCTATTTTTCTGTCTTCATTCTGCTACAAATCAAAATAGGCTATTTCTGCAATGGGCAAAATGAAACCCAGTTAGACATTACACATGGCAAATGCTACAAGAAACACTGAAATAAACCTTTGCTACCTGAAGTAAAAAAGATGTATTTAAACCCAGATCATGCCAAGCCCACTTTCCGCATGCCAAAGTATTTCTCAGTCACTCACTTTCAGCTTAATTAATATCAATATAAGTAAATTTTTTTTGGTGTAGCATACACTTCATACCAGAATTTGAAAAAATGCCCTCCATATTGAATAAAGCCAGAATAAATACATTTGGTAATGAAGTCAGATTTTGTTAGAACATTTTCAAGTGAATTAGATAATTTTGTCAAACTATTTAAATGTCTCAGCAAACCATTTGGGAAAATTGACTGCTGCACTTGGTATTGACTTTGGCAAAGGATGGTCTAACATAGGGGTTTTTTTGTAAAAAAAAAAAGAAAAAGCCTTTAAATCAAATTCTGAATCTCATGTCAAACTTGAGTAGACTATTTGTACTCCGCCTCATGTCGTTTTTGGCGTCTTGCATATTTGATGACTCAGTAATTAGATTTCTTGATAGTAATCACTTGGTTCATTCCACAGCCTCAGACTCTGCGATCCAGCCTTGTCATCGTCCTGATTCACAGGGCAGGAATCCTCTGCACTGACTGGAACAGGAACGCTGAGACAGCTGACAAATGAGCCCAAACATTCCGTGTGTGCCAGAAAGCCGGAGCAGTTCACATGGAGCAGGGCTGGGTGATTCTTTCCCGTTGTGAACCATCTGTATGTTATATGAGTAACAGCAAAGGGGGAACAGTCCTGCAGCCCAGTGGCTCCAAGCACTGGATTATTAAGTGATTTTACCCAGTTAAAGGGATGAATGCTTTAAACAAAACCGTGCTAAATGAAACTCGAGGACTATTAGTTCACACCAAGTTTCTGTACATGCAATTAAGATGTCATGCACGGGCTGTATTTCAGCAGTCATTAATAATGTAAGCATAAACCATTAAATACAGTACAAGGATCTTGGACTGGGTATGACAATGCTGAATGCAGACTGAGTTTAGAAAATGGTATTTGAGATCCTGAAGAATTCCAAGTAATTATGTCATGAAACTAGATGCCCTGTTTTAAAATCACTGTTCAGAAATACATTCCACTCTCCATTCCCTGATGCTTGGCTCACAGTTAGAAACCTGTTATAATCTCATTCCCATATTTTGTCGTAGAATATTAACTACAGTGTTTGGGCAAAGACTTCACTTAGTTCTATGAGCACTGGAAAAATAAATCAGCCCCACTGTCTCCTCCAAGGGAGAATCTGCACTGCACTAGAATGTCTGCAGCAGGAGCTCAGTGAGGCTCAGCTCACTCAGCATGGTGTTCCTGCTCAAGGGGAAAGGAGACACGAGAGGCAGGAATGAGAATCCACCTGGGAGCTTCTGACCCCTCAATCTGGAGAACTGTCTGCTGCCCTCACTCTGGTCAAGTCTTTGCTTTCCTTTCCTATTAGCAGTAACAGAACACAAAGTGCTTTAGAAATAAATCCACCTTCCTGACAGCCCATTAAACCCTTCCCACAGTATATCCTTACTTTGTTTCACTCTTGGGTGGGATTTTTTGCATTAACTCCCCTAGGAACCAACTCAAAGAGGAAACAGCAGCACACTGGGGAGCAGAGGGAGGGATCCCACTCCCCCAGGCTCAAGCAGTCCCATTCTCCATGGATGAACAGGTCAGGGATGACCTTCCCTGTGGACTGTCTGTCTCCATTCCTCCTATTTGCATCACTCCTTTCTCTGCTACAGAAACCTTCCTATTATCTGGTGTAACTTCCAGTGCCTCCTGTTGGCCATGGCTCTGCCATGGGCATGAGATTTGCCAACAGGAAACACATGGTCAGGAATGTGGCAGGGCAGGGAAGGAGAAGGGTTGGGCACAGGCATTTTATGGGACAGGAACAGGGTAAGTCTGTTCCTGTGATGGGCAGATGCATCACATGTGGGAGGGGACACTGGAACCTGCTCCTGGCCAAGGTCAGCAGAGGTGGCTGAAGGAGGAGCAGGGTACAGAAGCTCAGTTTGCTGCAGCAGTCATTCCCCAATTAGGAAAAATAAAATGAGTAATTGGGTCCTAATTGAATTTCCTTAATGAGACAGTTCTCCAACTACTCCAGGTGTAATATTCCTTACTGTACCCCTTCCATGCCTCACACACTCTGCCTTCTGCCCTTTGCTTAAAAACTTTCTTGGCTTTCCTTTCCCCATATAAAAAGAAGGTAAAGGTCAGTCATGGACTAGGATGGGAAAACTCTACATTCAATTGCTGTATTTGCTGAAGAACCCAAACATGTTCTTAGGGGAAAAGAATCCCTTAAATCTCTCTGTATCCCAAGTTCCCATCAGTAAAGCAAAATCAGAGTTCCCTCCCCTTCCAAAGTGCTGGGAAGTGAGACTCTTAAGTTTGATGTTTAATTTGTATGAGGCCCAAGCACCAAAAAAAAAATCTGAGCAAAAAGATTAGAGCAGAATTTTGTGGCTTACAGAGATTCTTTACTGTTGAGAAGATGTTATGAGATCCTTGAGCAAACGGTGCTTTAGAAATACCCCAGACTGTAGCCATGCAATGCAATCTGTAGTGCAGCAGTGCAATCCATACAATCAGTGGGATTAAACACTCTTCCCTGATTAGGATCTCGGTGGTTCAAGCCTGCTGCTGAGAGATGGATTACAGAAAACCTTATCAGAGAGCAAGGAAGTGAGAAGGCCTGTGGCTCTGACACTGAGTGAGTCTTACTAAGGCAAACACTGCCTGATTCCTGAGTGACTCATAGTTTTTACCCTTTGAGAGATTTCTCATTTTAGCTGAGAAAAGGTCTCTGTGTTTATCCAAACCTACAAGAATTCATCCAGGAAGAATTAAAAAACAAAATCTCAATGTGATTGCATGCTGTGGAGAAAAAAATCCCAGTGTGTTCTGTTGCAGACGAAGACAAGGCCCTGAACAACCTGACAGTAATGTCCAAGTTTGCCTTGCTTTGCACAGGGGATGGATGGCATGACCTTCTGAGGTCCCTTCCAAACTAAATTATTCTGTGACTCTAAACCAAACCAAATTGCTTAATTTGGGCCAGTGTTTTCTTCTGAACAGCATCCACACCAAGTAAAATGAACAGGTAATGATTCTTCATCATGCCAGGCAGAGGCCAGGCATGTCTGGCACACATACCCTTCCCTGGCACTGTCCAGCGGCGACTGATGGTGGTGTGGGCTGGGAAGGGCAGAGTCGAGCGGAAGGTGCCGTGCAGGGATGTCGTGAGGAGACGGCAGCACACCTGGGGAGGGGCCATTGTGGGTGGTGCTGGAACCGCTGAACATGCCTGGGAACACACAGCACGTGGCAAAAGAAAATTAACAGGGCAGCACCCAAGTAAGTCCTGCAGAGTCCCCAACTCCTTCCTCATTCCCCCACCCGGCCGTGAGACACAGCCCCTCAGCAGCTGTGCCTCAACAGCACCCACAGCTGGGTGCTGGTGTTTTGACACGTGTCCCCTCTCCAGCCCTCTCAAGGAGTCCACGTGTTCCTTGCTCTGACTGCAGAGCTGCAGGGCTCCTCCTGACAGCCAGCAGGGCTTTCCCACAGCTGAGAGTGGGAACCCCCAGTGCTGAGGTGTTTGCTGCACGATGGAGCTCACACAGAGAGCAGAGCGGGCTGTGGTACCTTGTCAGCATCACACTGGACACTGAACTCTGTGTGCACAAGGGGAACCAGGACCTGGGGGTTTGTTCTTGTTCATTTCAAACGCTGTAATTTGACTTTCCATTAGTATGCTGATGGGCACTCCAGACCACTTAAAAATATCACATATTGATACAAATGAAACCCCAATAAATTAAGTGCAAAGAGGAGCCAAGAGACATTTTTAATGAGACCGTGAGAAGGTTTACTAGTACACAGAGGTACTGAAGGGGTGTGGATGTGCCATTTTCTGGGGACTCTGACCACTCTCCTCGACCATGCCAGTCAGGCACCATCTGCCCTCTCCCAGTCCATGTGTGCAGAGCAGCACGTTCAGGCAGACAGAGCCGTGTGCCAGCCGTGTCCGTGTCACTGACAGGGCTCTGGACTGCCCTCCTCCCAAACCCCCACAGGGACACGCAACGAGCAGAAGGCAACATGAAAATCTGGAGAGGGGGGAATGTGTGACACCCTCGGGGCGGAGAAGCCAGGGCTGAAATGTCAGCATCTGTTTCTGTGTGAGACTGAAGGGCAGAACCACTAAGGCAAGATTCCAGCCACCTTTGTCAGGGACTTCAGATGAGTCAAAAGCCCCTCTTGAACAATGAGTCCTCAGCTGCTGACAGATCTAAAGCAACAAAAATGAACCACATCATCTCTGTCTCCCTCTAGACAGAACATTTGTCAACCAGCCAGTGAAACCAACTTGCTTTCTGCACTGCACGCCAGACAGAAGGGCTTTAAGAAGTCAGATGTTCCCAGGTGATGTGAGGATTTATTTGTCAAAGCTTCTTCTGATAACAGTAAGTCAGTAGCTGGGATGCTGCATTGTGAAAATGCTGTTTTTCCACTGGTGGCTTCAGTCCATTTCATAATACAACACCTTCCACTTCCCCCAGATCCTCACTGTTCATACATTCATTATCAGGCTCAGAAGATGAGCCAAATACCAATTTGACCTTGACTGTTCAGTGTCATTTCACACTTCAGCTGTATTTCCTACACCACCAGTTCAGGTATATTGGCAGCACAGCCTGGAGGAAACTGCTGAACCTCAAACGAGCCATTCATGTTCTCTGAGGCTCCCAGAGTGCCGCTGGCCTGTCAGTAATTCACACAAAAAGCTCAAAAGCCCTCAAGAAGTAGTTTTAGCAGCGTGGGGGCCAGCAAACACACTCAATGTTTTATCTTTCAATCCCACCCCTGAACAGTTCATGAATGTTTAAGATGTCTCTCCTGGCCTGTTCCTTACTGTCCCAGCTACTGAGGATAGTTCAATTCTTTGCTTGAGGTGATGAGAAAGACAGAGCAGCTGAGTACCTACAATCAGCACAGCCCTCTAGAGAAGCAAGAAAATGTAAAAAAACCACCCCACAACTCTGTATGTCCAGCAACTGAGCCCTGCATGTGTCCCAGCTGAGCCCTGTCCGCCTCTCCTGCAGTGGGAACACTAATTTTGGGTGTCACTCTCTGGCATCCAGCTGCCAGGATTCATGGACGTGTCAGAACACAATTATCTTTGAGGCGTTTGTCAAATGTGGTTGAGCTCGGCCAACAAATTTAAAAAATACAGTGGGGAAGGGGACTGACACATGTGGACAGAGAGGCCAGAGAGAGGATTATGCAAGCCTTGCTTCCAGGGGAAATGGGCCTAAACCCAGATCCTGCTCTGTACAGTGCACACCCCTTGGACACGGGGCTGGTGGGGCACGAGGGAGCTGCGAGGCTGCTCTGGCATCAGACACAGCCATGGAGCTCCTGGGGCTTGGGGCGAGGCTGAGGCTGCACAGCCTGCCCTGGGGATGGGGCTGCATCCTCACACTGGGATGGGGCTGCATCCTCACACTGGGATGGGGGCTGCATCCTCACACTGGGATGGGGCTGCATCCTCACACTGGGATGGGGCTGCATCCTCACACTGGGATGGGCCTGCATCCTCACACTGGGATGGGGCTGCATCCTCACACTGGGATGGGGCTGCATCCTCACACTGGGATGGGGCTGCAGCCACCCCTGAAGCTCCTGGATAGTGGGGAAGCCAAAACACGAGCCGACACAGTCAAAGAATCAACCCAAGTGTTGACCTGCTCCACTAGCATGGGGTGTCTGCCTGTCATTCCAGAGCACTTCTAGGGTCCCGTGGCCCACACAGTGGAAGATGGAATTTACTGTGTGTATCTGCAAGGACACATTACTCACTTCTCTTGGGCCATGGATGACTAAAGTGGTACTTTAGTAATCTTACACAGTGCAAAACAAGGGCAGTCCAACAGAACATTCACTTTACTGCCTTCAGGGGACAGACCTTTCCCTGGCCATGGGCACTGTGAATCCATCAGCTATCAGCCAGTTATGCTGCCACTGGAATCCAGGTTGACATGTTTCTGTTCCAGACTTAATGCCCTCAAAGTTTGGAGCTGCTGTCACTCTGATTCCATGTCTCCTTAGCAATATGTTCATGGGTGGTAAAGCCCAAAAATGGTGCT